ACGGTCTGTCTTGTATCGCTGGGATGTCGAGCTGGTCAAGCTGCGTTTATATCGAAGCGTTTTTTTCCAGCATTCCAGACCACTAATTGCACGATTGTTACATGCACGCGTGTAAACATTAATGTACACAATGGCATGCTGTGGTGAAATTAACTTCAAACTTCAAGGGTCCCCGATCGTCATTATCATCAGACGCATGCTTTGCCGTAAGAAGCGTTCACAGCAGGGGCATCATTGTGAAATTATTGAACGACACAGAATACAGAACGAATCCTGCTCTGAACAGAAGTCTGCTCACAACGTTTCCTTCCGTTTCATGTTGTGTCGCTCCACTATTTCACAAAGTTGCCATAACAATGCACATTAAAAGTTTGTGCGGTGCGACTGCGTACAGGCAGCCGGTGGCATTGGCGACCCCCTTCGCGTTAGAAGGCGTGGGAGGAGACTCACTGCCCCCAATTCGTGTGCGCGTCTATGATATAACAACACATCATCTTCACGCAGGGCATCATAATCGACCCAATGTTCGAGGATGTCGGGGCTGTGGCTGTGGACGCGCAACCGGGCGACGCAGTGTTTATCCACCCGAGGCTCGTGCACGGAACGGCACCGAACCGCTCGAACACTTACCGCAAGGTACCAACTGTTACGTATATATAATGTACAATGGGTCCGCAAGGTACCAACTGCTACGTATATACAATGTACAATGGGTCCGCAAGGTACCAACTGCTACGTATATACAATGTACAATGGGTCCGCAAGGTACCAACTGCTACGCAATGAACAATGGGTGACATTTAGCAACACCGTGTTTTCCTGGAGTATTTGCATGGTTCGCCCATAATCTCGTGTTTATTGATTGCTTTCATGATTTGATTGATTTGTTTCCAAGTGGCCATCGATTGTGTGACATATATAATAAACGGGAGGAAGAAGCGTATATACTAGATCGGTTTTAGCAAGCTCAATGTGCATATGCGTGTAGACCTGGAGGTGCAGTCACAATTTTTATATATTTAGGGGAGGGGGTAGCATTTTATATTTTTAGGGTGTGTGTTGTATGTGTGAGTGTATATATACACATCTAAAATTATTTTCTTACCACGGCTGCGCCAGACGTGCACCGTGACGACTGAAAATATCGCTAAGAAACTTAGCGATATTTTCAGTCGTCACAATGCACCAGCAAGCCTAAATTTTAACATTACGTGCACCTTCATTCAGCTCCCTGCAGAATGGTGCTACCGGAGGCAATCATTGCAATTGCGGCTTTGCGTTAAGCAGTGCAACACCGTTGACAGACGGGCCTGTAGGCAGACGAGCACACTCGTATTTAAAGCACTGTCACTAATTAAGTCACGCCTCGTTTTAGTATGCGTTTGTTTGTCAGACCTCTATGCGCAGAGTCATCTGCTCATTGAGGACGTTTTTTGCGATGACATTTGGTACAGAATCTTTTTTTAATACACACGCCTGTCAAAAAACACGTCAATGCCCATATCATGTACATGTCTGGACTTGACACACCGCTACCTTCACAAAACTTCTCTTTCCCTTTTGCAGGAAATGATTTCTCACTACGCCCACAGCGGTGTCCGGTACATTGACAAGCCGACAGCCAATCAGGTGACTTCATGCTTTTCCTCATTGTGATCCCAGTATTTGGCCGTATTTACTTCTAGTCGGACCTATTACTTTTTAGCTGAGTAGTTAAAAAGACGTTGATAGATAGATATGTGGGGTTTAACGTCCCAAAACCACCATATGATTATGACGCCGTAGTGGAGGGCTCCGGAAATTTCGACCACCTGGGGTTCTTTAACGTGCACCCATATCTGAGTACACGGGCCTACAACATTTCCGCCTCCATCGGAAATGCAGCCGCCGCAGCCGGGATTCGAACCCGTGACCTGTGGGTCAGCAGCCGGGTACCTTAGCCACTAGACCACCGCGGCGGGGCAGTTAAAAAGACGTTATCGAAAACGTAATGTAATTCCTTCATATCCGTCGGTTGACAACACATGAAACGAAGTCACTTTTGCATCACGTACGGGCCCGATCACTTTACCATGACTGATGGCTCGCGTGATTTGGCCAAACATTCGGAGTATTTCCCCAATTCTAGTTCTTACGAAACGCGGTTCGCAATAAACGGCAACTGTAACCCAACGGAACACTACTAGTTGCAAACGACTTCGTAATCAAAACAGTTTGTTTCTCAAGCACGTTAGGACACTACTTACGCACGCAGCTGGTATATCTATCACTGCTTGATTGAACACTTTCTCCCACCACCTAGGACTACTGGAAGGACAGCGCCTACATCGTTCGCAGTGCCGACAGTCGTCTCTGAAGAGGAAGCACGAAGACGGGGTCCCCATTCCCTTCACCGTTAGCTGTATAGAACCCTGAACAAAAAAAAAATATGTTGAACCACACATCTTTGTCTTCAAGAATCGCAATTTTTTTTTGTAGCCTTCTCGCAACACCCGGGTTGATTTACTGTTGTCCTTGAACGTGCTGCTATACCCAATCAACGAAGGCTGGGCGACTATCGTTAGTGCTAATGCGAATCTGGTTCTGGACGCATATGGTTACACAAATCAGGCTCTCTGTAATAGCTAGGGCTCCGTGTTTTCGGTGTTTATTTTTCCTGAAATTCGAACTTGTTTTTCGGAGTTTTTCTAAACTTTATTTTAAATGACATTCGGTGTTTAAGATAGCCCAGTTCTCTCAGATCGCCAATTATCCGGATTTCAGCGTTTACATTTGCGTTATAGGTTGTCACAATGTCTTATTCTATTTCCGGTGAAAATGGTCTGAATTGTTGCTGATAAACCTGTTTTCCAAACCTTTCATTTTTTTTCTCACTTCTGTTGATTTACCATGTTAATAAGGCTACTGATGCGCCCTGTTGTAAGCTCGCGATAGTGTACCTTTAGGTAGAGAGCAGGCGCTATAGTGCAGCTGCTTCTCAGCTTTTTCCCTCAGCCTCCCTCACATTCTTGATGAAAAATAAAGGACCTACTATTATTACCCTTACTCCCCATACTCTTCAATCTTATACATGATACCTGAATTTTATAGCATGTGAATACAAAGAATGCACTAGATGCTCGGAAGGTTTGAAATCGGCAAATGTATATGCATGCTAACATGAATGCTTCAACGCAAAGCTCTCACGTTGGTTAGTATTACAACGTTAAAGCTAGTTGTAATATGCGCGAACATATTTTACAATGTGCCTGCCAATGATGGAAGTGCACCCTTTTCTATTGATGATTGTAAACCTTGAAAATGCCCTTTGAACGTTCAAAATTTCCTTTTATAATCGAAACTTATCGGCTAATTCGAAACTATAGCAATTTTGCCAGCCAGTGTTTATAGTTTTTTTTATTTGTGAGAATGCACGAAGCCCAAGTAATAGCATAAAACTTACGTGGCATTCGATCGTCACCACGACTAATAAAACAGTCTCACTCACGCACTCGCCAATGTTCTCCAAAGGCGGGGTCACACGCCAACCCGCTCATGACATCAGTCCTGAATGCGCGCCTATTGGTACAGGCTTCTGTGCAACCGGATTTAAGAACGAAGTGCCGCTGGATTCTAAAGTTGTACCCCACAATGGCGTCCTCGCTTCTGACTGTCATATAATAGTTGTTATTACTGAATACTGTGCTATGCGCTGGCTATTTATTCATGTCCTCTGGCACGTAAAGTACGCTCCCTATAGTGCAATAACACCACTCCTATAGTGCCCAGATGCAAACAAAGTTTATCCCTTTAACCGTTTACGAGAAAGCGTTTGATTCAGTAGAAATATCAGCCGTCATGTAGACACTGCGGAATCAGGGCGTCGATGAAGTATATATAAACATCCTGGAAGAAATATACAGGTGACCAACTGCTACCATAGTGCTTCATAAAGAAAGCAACAGAATACCAATCAAGAAGGGTGTAAGGCAGGGGGACACAATCTCCCCAATGCTATTTACCGCGTGCTTACTGGAGGTTTTCAGAAGTCTAGAATGGGAACAGTTAGGGATAAGAGTTAATGGAGAGTATTTTAGTAACCTGCGCTTTGCCGATGACATTGCGTTGCTGAGTAACTCAGGGGACGAATTGCAACTCATGATTACGGAGTTAGACAAGGAGAGCAGAAAGGTGGGTCTTAAAATTAATCTGCAGAAAACGAAAGTAATGTACAACAACCTCGGAAAAGAACAGCGCTTCGAGATAGGTAATAGTGCACTTCAAGTTGTAGAAGACTATGTCTACTTTGGGCAGGTAATAACCGCGGAACCGAACCACGAGATTGAAGAAACTAGAAGAATAAGAATGGGGTGGAGCACATTTGGCAAGCACTATCAAATTATGACAGGTAGATTGCCACTGTCCATCAAGAGGAAGGTATATAACAGCTGTATCTTGCCGGTACTTAGCTACGGAGCGGAACCCTGGAGACTTACAAAGAAGGTATAGCTTAAATTGAGGACGACGCAGTGAGCAATGGAAAGAAAAATGGTAGGTGTAACCTTAAGAGACAAGAAAAGAGCAGAGTGGATTAGGGAACAATCGGGGGTTAAGGATATCATAGCTGAAATCAAGAAGACAAAATGGACATGGGCTGGGCATGTAGCGCGTGGACGGGATAAGCGCTGGTCATTAAGGGTAACTGACTGGATTCCCAGAGAAGGCAAGCGGGTTAGAGGGAGACAGAAGATTAGGTGGGCAGATGAGATTAAGATGTTTGCAGGTATAAATTGGCAGCAGCAAGCACAGGACCAGGTTAACAGGCGGAACATTGGAGAGGCCTTTGTCCTGCAGTGGAGGTAGTCAGGCTGATGATGATGATGATGATGATAATGATGATGATGATGATGATGATGACGACGACGACGACGACGATGATGATGATGATGATGATGATGATGATGATGATGATGATGATGATGATGATGATGATGATGATGATGATGATGAAGCATAGCAAAATGTGCAAGGTGAGCACCGTAAGGGCAATTGGTCACAAAGGCAATACAGGCGATATATAAAAAAGTATCATTGAGCAAACGCTTAGCTTTTAATGATAGTAGGGTATCCTACGCTTACAGTTTAGATACTATGCTATATATAGGACACACACCAAACTTAAAGGGACCGTAAAGTCAAATAACAATTCACGTAAGAGTGAAAGCTCAATGTGAGACAACATTTAAAACGACAATATTATCAACAACAGTGCCCTACTTACCGAGAAATTAAGGTAAATGCACAACACGAGCGCCACAGTAGGACATTTTCAAAATGATCCCGATGACATCAGACGGACCGCCTACTATTAATCACCAGTAATCGATCTAACTGCACTAAATAAAGAACTGTCCGTGCGGCAAGAGACACAATAAAATGCTGCTCTTTCGTTTCTGTTTCATTCATGGAAAAAAGAACCAACGGACGTCGCGAGTGATTCAAAAATTAAATTTTGGCGCGGTTACACAGGACATGTGGTGTCATCAAGCGGTGTGTATTTGAAACAACAGCGTCTGCAATCTCGGAGCCAATGAGGGGAAATTGATCAATGGCCGTTTTTGCTGCTGTGGCTCCCACTGCTTTCGGTATGCTGCTACTAGCACATTAAAGCTGGGCAACGTTGTACACGGCAACAGTGACCTGAAACGGATCGGTCGGTCCGCTTCTTGAGGCGGGTAATTTGAAGCGCGCTAACGCGATACGGACTGCTAAAACGTGATTTTATTTCAAAATATGCCCTTCCTTGGCACAAAAGTAACACTACGTGGTTTCTGGACCACCATTTCAGCAATCAACGTCGACTTAATAATTTACTTTAGTGTCCCTTTAATCAGAAAAGAAGCCCCGCCGCGGTGGTCTAGTGGCTAAGGTACTCGGCTGCTGACCCGCAGGGCGCGGGTTCAAATCCCGGCTGCGGCGGCTGCATTTCCGATGGAGGCGGAAATGTTGTAGGCCCGTGCGCTCAGATTTGGGTGCACGTTAAAGAACCTCAGGTGGTCTAAATTTCCGGAGCCCTCCACTACGGCGTCTCTCATAATCATAGAGTGGTTTTGGGACGTTAAACCCCACATATCAATCAATCAGAAAAGAATTCCAAGGCACTGGACCAGCCATTCGAAGCTGGTTGGGATCTGTCCTTCCGTCGTCACGGCACATCTAGGTGTTCTGTGACACCACCCCACAACATCAACGCCGAACACCTAGTACGGAAGGGCACAGCCAACCTTGACCGACACACAGGAAGACCCACTAACGCACTTGAGCGCGTCCGGGATAACTGCTTGCTCTCCGTAAGAAAGTAGAGCACGGCCAACTTTCTCCGGCGGGCAAACTTTTCGCGCAGCCAACGGCGGTGACGGCGCCCGCCAACGAGCGCGTCCAAACTCTTTCCGACCAATCGCGCGCGCGGAACGGCGGTGGCGGCCATCTTGCGGCGATCCACCAAGGCGCAACGTCAAGGTGGTTACCCCTGGCTACGGCGCAGACGCCGGTCGAATATCGACGAGGTCCGCACCCGTTGAAAGCCGCGCCGGTGCTTGCTCGCTTGTACAAACTCGGGCGACACGCGGGCGCGAGCACCGGGCCGCACTGGCGCGGAAAACAGGCACCGAGACCCACTTTTCGAGAGAAGGACGGCACGGAGTCGCCGGACATCAACCGTTCATACGACGCGCGGGGGGCGGCTTGGAGGTCACCCTTTCATTCGGAGCACAAGACGATTCTGCCAAGATGTGAACACTTTCGCGGAGACTTCAGCGGAGAGTGCGAGGCGGTAAGTGAAAAGCGGTGTAGTAATAAGGTGAAAATGTTGGCGAATTGATAATCGTGCCTGCCGCTGTGGAGCAAGGCATGATTATGATGCTCGGCTGCTAACCAGAGTGGTCGCGGGTTCGATACCGGTCGCATTTCGAAGGAGGCGGAACGCCAGACGCCCGTGTATACTGAACGATGTCGTTTCACGTTAAAGGACACCGGATGTTCGTAATTTTCGGAGCCCTCCATTACGGCGTCTCTAATAATCATATCTTGGTGTATGGGCATAAAAATCCCAGATATTATTATTATGGAGCTGCAAACCACGCCAACTTGATATAAGAGCAGTAAGTGATGCCAACCTATTATAAGAGCGACAGCACGAAGGATACACCAACAGAACACATACAACGAGTACTATCTAATACGATTTTTTTAACAAAGCTGAACGCACCAATAGCTAACAACGCGCACGCGTAAGATTATTTAGTCACACGGAAAAAATTTTTTAAACATGTCTGCCTCGCAACCTAGCAAGCAAACAGAAGGTTGATATATACAACTATCCCGCATCCCTTCCACGGCAAAGGTTTGCGCGAATTACCGAGCCCCTTCATGTTTGTGCTTCAACATGATGACAGCGTTATTGAACGAACCCACATCAAAGGATTATCACTCGTGTTGTCACGTTTGTCGTCCTGGCTTCTCTCTCGTGTCCGCGTTTCCACAACGCGTTGCTTAACATGTTGTAACCTTGCCGACTAACCTTCAATGCTAGCCCCACTATCTCTGCAGTGCGCCGTCGGTCGCCTTACGTGACGCGCATGCATGACAAAGTTGGCTGGGTAAACAACAAAAGCGACGAAAGGTGAAGAAGACTATTCGAGCGCGTTTTTTTTTTTCATGTTATCACTGGGGGTTAACTGATCAATTCCACTTCCAGCCTCTTCTGGGCTCATGTCATAAGCGATTCCTCCCATTCCTCTCACGTGACACTGAGTTATGCAGGTACATGCCTTCGTTCCAAATTAGTATGACTCGCGTGTGTGACATCACAGTTGAGCTTACTGCTCACGAGCAAAAACTCGCGATTGTACCAATGAACACATAAAGTATTGGTTCATATGGAAAACAAGAAAGCTATCAAAGACAGCGGAAGCTAGCGCACATCGTGCTTTCGAGTGAAAGTTATAGACAACAATTTTTGCTTACGTGGTTGTCACAGCCGATTTGGTCGGCCCCCCTATTCTTCCTATTTATTTATAAAATCACGTTTGGTACGATATACTTTTCCAGTTTTTTTAACACATTCAAAACCATTAACCGAAAATAACAGCATATCAGAGAGACGATTTTGAGAAGGTGCGATTTTTCCATTCAAAAAAAAAACTTGCGCGATCAGAGAAACTTGAGAAGGTAGAGCACCCCAACAGTCCAAAATCTGCAACGGGATATCCGAGTGCTCCTGTTTGTCTGAAATTCCGCACTGCACTTTGACTAAATCGTGTACTCTTTTCATCCTCCCTCACCTTTCTGTTTCCCCTTCCCGAGTGCAGGGTAGCAAGTCAAAGATTTTCTTCTGGTTATCCTTCTACCTTGTAGCTCATATATCTCTCTGCCTCGTTTTGATCAGGTGCCGAGAAATCTATTCCTTAATTATGCACTACCAGATTACAGTGCTTAGTCTTGTTGCTTCTTTCCTTGCCCCATCCTAGCGGTGTTTCCAGAATTTGATTATGCACGAAGAAGCCAGCACTACTACTCCATTTCAACTTACAAGACTTCATAACCTCCGAGTAATTAGCTCTCCCATGGACGAAAGACGTCATATCATGGTAAAACGATGGCTTTTTAAGAGGTTCATCGTTGCCAGCGAGGAAGTTTAGCGTCTTCTTGTGTTTTTTGACAGCAGGTCACCCGCCTCGATTACATGGCAATTTCGGCGAACGTTTGCCTCTATCGAAATACTAAACACACCTGCATCTATTATCACCACCCACAGTAAAAAAAAACCCAGAAGCTTACTCCAAGCCACGCAAAGCTTCGTACAGTAAAACTGGACGAGTCTGATGACTAATCTCGTTATATATGTATACATAATTCTCACTGGTATAGCGCACCACGACAAGGACACACACAAAGGAGAGATGCACACACACACAGCGCTATGCAGAGAGTAGCGGGAATGCAGAAAGTAGCAGAAAGTAGCGGGAAACAGGATTGTAAGATTAAGCACCGGGAGAAATTTGTGAATTGTTGTTGTGGTGTTGTCTATAGCACTCCTTTGACTTGCGGTTGCGAATACATAGGCCAATCTGGAAGGTGTGTGAATGAAAGACTAAAGGAGCACAAGTACAATGTAGAAAGAGCTGTGTGTGGTCATTTGGCCCTTCACTGTCAGAGGTGCGGTTGCGTCCCTATGTTCCGAAACACCCGTATACTCTTTAAGGCCCGTGACAGAACCACACGTAAAGTTATTGAAGCTTTTGTAATAGACAAAATGAAAGAAAAATGTGTGAGTGTGGCTTCCATAGCATTATCATCTAAAGAAAAGAAGTATCTGGAATCTTCACTTTGACGGGCTAGTGTAGATTGTCGCTATCGGTGATGACACGTGCATGGGCTGTGCTGTATTCTTGACGTAACATTATCCAGGTTTTATCGGTCTACTGTTGTATAAACAGCGTGTGTGATCGCAAATAAAGCATTAGTTGCAAGTTAGCGCTGTGTGTGTGTGCATCTCTCCTTTGTGTGTGTCCTTGTCGTGGTGCGCTATACCAGTGAAAATGATGAATCTCAACCAACTAGCCCGGCAACGTGTCTTAGCTATATATGTATACCTCTAGCTGGTTTCTATGCTTTAGCTATAGGTGATGCAAGTTGAGTCTAGGTTGCTTCTAGATTGTTGCTATGCTTTTTAGCCACATATTTTATGCTAGGTCACTCAGCCCAGAGAGCTTACAGCTGAACTAGGGACAGACACGACACGGACGTCCAAACTGCAGCGACAAACTCGCGCTGAAACCAAGCAGGCCTGTCGTCGTCGGCGAAGGCCTTCCATCCCCTCGACGTCTCTCAGCAGCCGCTGATTTTTCCCATTCTCTAGAATTTATTTCGCTGTGCGCACTCTGAGTCTTCAACTCGCCTCCGTAGCTTCGCAGCCATTTGTTCAGCTAACTGTTGCATTTTTCGTATTTAGTGGACCAATGATGAGTAT